GAGGCGGGTGGAAATCCACCCCCTTCCCCGTGCAGCAGGTCTCGCCCCACAGAAGGGGGTGTCCTCTCCTTTTCCCTCAAACCAGCCGTGACTGGTGGTAATGGGGAAGTCTCGGTCACCCATGTGGATGTCCTGCGTTTGAGTTTTGTACCCGCAGCCTTACGGCCTCCTGCGTGTGACAGTTTAGTTGCAAGCTGCAAGAAAAACAACTGCAAGTTGCATGAGAAAGTATTTCCTTTTTGCTGCGATTTCACACGTTAGTATCACCGCCTTCCCTCTTGGAGTTTAACCACGATGCAGGGAGCCCAGGGGCTGGCTGCCACTGCCGTGCTTTATCACAGGTCCTGAGGACACCTCTCTTTTTTTTTTTTTTTTTTTTTAAACTTTCTAGGAACTTTCCCAGGCCCTCTTCCCATCGCTCTCCGGACCTCTCCTGCCTAACGACATCCAGCTCCTCTTGAACCGGCCCGTGTGAGCAAATGGGATTTCCTGAAGCTGCGGGCGGCCCCTCTGCTACCTGCCACGGGGCTGCGAGGAAACATAAGCCAGGTCAGGCTTTCCTCCCGCTCTTGCCACTTGACTTTTCCACCCCCAAAGTGACATTTGTCATTCAGAGCAAGCGTTGGAAGTGTTTAACCTGCATAGCTCCTTCATTTGGACACAGTTTCTAGAGACACCGTCGTTTTTATGTTTGCTGCACCTATCCAAGGTCCCTTGGCTCCAGACAAGCCAAAGGGGAAAATTTAATTGTAGCAAAGTTAAAAGATGCGATTACAAATTTGAAAATGACAAAAGTAACAAAAAAAGGCAACAAAATAAAATGCCATGATGTTAAAATGTACCAGCATCCATCCCTGCTTCAATAACCCCCAAGGTTTTCCTGAAGCATCCCTCCACTGTGAAAGCAGAGGACAAACCCAATTACTAGAATCCTAGTTTCCAAATGGGACATCACCCCCTCCTCCTGGGTCTGTCTGGGGATTTTCTAACCACTGCGAAATAAAAGTGGAGCTTTCAAAATGCGTCTCAAAAAAACCCCCTTGCATCCCCCCTCGCTGTGCTGCAGCCCTGGCTCGCGGCATGATGCCTGTAGCAGTGCCAAGGGGAAAAAACCTCCGTGGCTGTAAGGCACCAGCCCCCGCCAAAGGTGGAGGGACCCCCGCAGTACAACTTCTTCGTAGGTTTTCCTGTTTTATAGGAAGTTAAGTAAATGGTCTCCATAAGCCGACACGGTCGTGGTTTCCAAATCACACTGAAAAGTTGTTTTTCTCATGGTTCAAGAGTCTTTTTCTCCCCAGCTCCTTACGCATCTCAGGGCAACACAAGCAAAGAGCGCCCGTGCGGGGCTTGTGCAGCCTCTCGCTCCGTCCCAGCCCTCGCACGTGCGTCGTGCCGGGAGTTTCTGCCACCTCCGGTAAGATGGGGCACAAGGCAGTCCCCCTTTTTCACGGTCCCCGTTCTCCCGGTGCCCTCCCACCACACTTGCCTTCCTAAATTTTTTTTTTTTTTAATTATTATTTTCCGGCCACGGAGGAGGAGCGAGCAGAAGCACTCATGAAGATAGCTGTGATTACGTTCTGCTCTCCTCTTGGAGCCATCGGCGGCACAGGCTGTATCACTTTGTATCTGCCGAGGCGTACGATATCATTGCCTGTGTTTTATAGCGAAACACCAAATTTCATTTCTCATCATCGCTTCCATCATTTTGGCTCCAGTTTCTCTGAAGCTCTTCAAAGTCCTCTTTGGACCAGAGTCAACCTAAATAACGTGTAAATAATTAATCATTTAAATAAATAACAGGCCATCTGCAAATAGCGACTCACTCTGTACGCGGGTTAAGAAATATGTTAAATAACCCAGAACGGAGTACAAAACCTTGAGCCACCCACTGCCAACCTTTTTGGGGAAGAAAAGCGGCTACTGATATTTATAGGAGCAGCAGGATTATAGCTCCATCGACTCAATCCTGCTGCTGCGCAAACACAGGAGGGAAAGACGGTCCCCGAGCCCTGTGAGCTTTTTATTTAAAACAGAAGAAATAAAACATAGAGCAATGGAAAAGAGAAAGCTGTACTGGTCAGTGGCATAAGCAGCAAACACTGCATGGAACAAAACGCTTCGGAGCCGACGCTTTGTCTTCTTTTAGCCCGTCTCCATCCCCTGTCCAGGCTCAGGCCACCTCGAGGCACCGATGGAAACAGCCCCATAAACTGCTGGATTCTGGGGGGCCAGGGACATTATTTGCCCTAAAGATTCGGGAACAGCAAAATCGCAATTATGGGAACGCAATAGGAAAATGAACTGCGAAGTATCAGATGCCGAGAGAAAACCAAGAGGGATGACCCAAGGCACCAAATGTCTTCTGCAGAGGCCCTGAGCCGGGAGAGACGCCACCGAGGAGGTGGGCGTGAAATATCTCTGAAACTGCACCAAGAACGTGGCGGAAGCGCACGAACAGTGATTTTTGCTGCCTTTTCCAGCCAAAAAACCACCTGTGGACACCAAATTAACCTCCCGGCAGCAGGAGGCCGCAGGGACTGGAAGTTTAAACAGGTTCAGAAAAGCAATTAGATAAAATTCATGGGAAACACGCCTCAAAGATTGTATCGAACACCAAAGCGCAGGCTGGGGCTCGGGACCCTGCAGGAGGAGCTGCCGGAGGCCGGGCGGTCAGGGTGGGGGGGGCACCGCTTGCCGGCGCCCCCTCCTCAGCCGGGCCCCGCTGCACCCAGCTGCGGCAGCCCTTGCCCGAAATAACCCGCGGCCTAAAAGTTAGTAAGAGACTGGAGGAGGCCTGAGAGAGAAACGGTGCGCCCACGGGATTCACCGGTGGTTAAAGGAAGCACTTAGGCCGCAGGCGTCGGTGCAAAAGCCGGGCCGTATCTTCACGTCCATTTTCGTCAGCAGGCAGACCGGGGAGGCGCCTGTTAGAGAGGGTGGTTGTTTTTTTTTTTTTTTCTGTTAAGAAAAACCCAACCAAAACAACAAAAAACCACTCGTACCAAGAGCCGAGTTGCTCAGCAGAGCAACAGATCACTCTGTCACAGGGTGATTTAAGAAGCAAAGTCCCCCAGCCCAGGGCGAGGTCTCTGG